GCTCTGAATGCACTCTCCTGTTATTCTGAGTTTGGGGTGGGAATAATAATATACAGTAGTTTTCCAAGCCCAGTTTGGGATTTAATCATGAGGAGCCACACCATCACTATTTCTTACAACAAATAATAGGGTGGCTATCAACATATTTTTTCCCATCTGGACTGTATGAGGAACCAGAAATCATACATTGAAAACAATTTTTCAATCCAGACATTAAATAATGGAGCAGTGTTCTTCATCCATCCACACTGCTCCTCTCTCATTTGCCTTAACAGGAGCTCATACTCAGGCTGTTGCAATAGGTATAAGTGACCCAAGCCTGTGTTAAGAGAGAGGAAGAGGACCATGCCTGCAGCAGACCTGAAAAAGCATCCAAATGACAGCATAGTGGAAGAATCCTGGAAAGACGTATCTCCCAAATCAACCTCCTCTTTTCCCCAGCCATTTTTTCCTCTCCTCCATGGCAAGCTTTAATTTCTCCTTGTCCTAAATGCTGAGAATTTTTCCAGTCATCCCAAACTGGATTGTAGTTTATTTTAAAGTTGGTATGAAGATTCACTGGCATTTGTTTGCAAGTTTATCCTGGTACAGGCATACATCATATTTTCTGAAGATACTTTTTGAAGCACATGCACATATAATGCATTTTCAAATCCACACTTCCCTAGTGTGTACACTGTTGCATTGATTGTATAGATTGGAGGGCTCCCCTAGAACATTTAGAGAACTGTGAATTTTGAAGGGTAACCAAGTATTTCAGTTTTCATATTGCTTTCAAAGTTCAAAGTTAGGAAAATGCAAACTGAATTAATTTCTCCCTCATTCCCAGCTGCCATCCATTGGATAAGCTTTTTTTTTTTGTCGTGTCAGGAGCAAGTCGCTTCTGGTGTGAGAGAATTGACTGTCTACAAGGACATTGCCCAGGGGATGCCTGGATGATTTGATGTTTTTATCATCCTTGTGAGAGGCTTCTCTCATGTCCCTGCATGAGGAGCTGGAGTTGATAGAGGGAGCTCATCCGCCTCTCCCCAGATTCAAACCTGCGACCTGTCAGTCTTCAGTCCTGCCGGCATAGGGGTTTAACCCACTGCGCCACCGGGGGCTCCATTGGATAAGCTGCAATATATTTATCCCAATTTTTCTTGATTTTCAGGGATGGGACATATTTTTTGATAGCTGATAGTAGTGAATAACTTGATGTTATATTGCTCTAGTTGCTGCTTTACCTTTGGAGTGGCCCTACTCTTTATGCAGATGGATTGCCGCCCAGCTGAGTTCCAAACTGCTTACCAGCTAGAAGGGTGATGGAAAATGTCCTTAGATTTTCCAAGGGAGGAAGTCAGGTTTTGTACTAGCTGGTATTTAGTCTCTTTGTGGCAACCCCTTGTCTCTACCTCATGACCCTCACCTTCATGACCCTCACTTTTCGCTTCATTACCCCCAGTGGATATCAGTGTCCCTGTCTCTCAGAAGGATCCAGCACCTTCATCTCAGCTCTCTCATTCAAGTTAGAAGATTAGACAGATACATGTTGTCTTTTACACACACACACACACAAACATACATCAGCACATCCAGGACCTTCACACAATGTTGTGCCCATCCAGGACCTTCACACAATGCAGCTGCTGAAGTGTATTTTGAATACCTGACAGCATGCTATAGGACACATACATTTTGCTAATACAGCTTTCCACAACCCTTATTTTATTACAATTCCCATCAACCACAGTCAGCATGATCAATTATGGTAGTCGAGAATATCTAGAGAGTGTCACATCTGAAAAACTAAATTTGTGGTTAGCATCAGGGTAGGCTTTCATGGGACAAATTAATGGACTCTCTAGGAACTCAAGGAACATTTGAAGCATGTAATGTTGAGTGGAGGTAATAAGGTTCACCAAGAGATTCTTGCTTTGACAATGGAGCTGTTATAATTATGTGCCTATTTCAGTCTGTGAAACATCAGAGGGATGCATAGAAGATGGCTACTATGCTGTTTGGTTTGATATATTGTAAGCCAGGCAGACCTGTCTTGGGAAATTAAGAGCTCCTCTTGCTATGAATCTTCAGGTTGACTCCAGATTATGGCAACACCATCACATGATTTTCTTGGTTAGATGGTATTCAGAGGAGGTTTCTTCTTGCTTTCCTCTAAAACTGTGAAAGAGTATGACTTCACCAAGGTCACCCAGTAAGTTTCCATGGCTGAGTGGGCATTTGAAATTTGGTCTACTGGAATTCAGCCCAAAGTACCCCCATTAGAAAAAAACATTCAGGTACAAAGGGCAAATAGCTTGTTGGACTGCCATAACAATGACTCCTAGCCAGCAGCATCAAGGACTGAAGGATGAGGAAACCAGCATTGCACAAAAACTCAATTTATAGACTAATAAAATAAACAGCCAATTTGGCATTAGGGAAACAGATGTCTATAAGATCCTCAACACATTCAGTGTCATCTGATCTGGTAAGCTAAATAGGATTGAGGCTAGTTAGTGTTTGGGTGGAAGGCCACCTGGGAAAATCGAATGCTGTAGGCTTAAGAGAGCTAGTATAGTGTTGTAGATTGGGTGTTGGAACAGGACTCTGGGAAACCAGGCTTTGGATCCCCTTTCAGCCATGAAATTGGGATCATGGTCTTTTGGCCTCAGAGGAAAGCAAAGGCAACCCCACTTTGAACTGATCTTGTCAAGAAAAGTCCATGATAGGTCATTTTCTGGTCATCATAAATCTGAATTAACTTAAAGACAAACATCATAGCAACAGCAGCAAAGCTATATATTCCAATAGAAGGATAAAATTGTTGAAAATCCTTGTCTAGCATTGCAGTCTCAATGTGATTCAGGGGTTTCTGTGGCATTGCTGTCATTATTCCTGCTTCTGCTGCTGTTGCTATGTGCCTTCAAGTTGACTTGGATTCATGGGGACCTAACCTTGTGTTTTCTTGACAAGATTTATTCAGAGACTAGTCACTCCCTTCCTCTAATGTTGACATAGCCTGTGCTAATTCCTAAAAGTGAAAACAATTGGAAAAGTTATCATACTCTTACAGTGTAGCTGCAAATAGAGTGGTTCAAATTGTGCAGCACAATTGTGGTACTGTACAGTTGTGAGTGGCTGCAAAGATTAGGTTCTTCCTAGAATATAAAAGCCAGGCCTCATGAGGTTTGAGAAGACTGGAAGAAAAAATCCTTCTCTTCTGCATAAACTTGGGCTCCAGTTCAGCAAACCAAAATGCATACAATATTTTCCAAAGCAACAAGTATTCATATGGCCTTAGCCACCTATGACCCAGCACTTTCTCAATGTGTTGGACTACATTTCCTATCACCTCCTGCCAATACTGGCTGGGGATCTGGGGAGTCATACTTCAAAAAAGAAGCCTTGTTGAACCTCTGCTCAGGCTGCAGAGTCTGGCTGAGAGACCAAATTACCAAGTAGCGATTCTGCATCTGTTGTTGCTATGAGCTTTCAGGTTGACTCCAAGTTGTCACCATCATTTTGTGTGCCTCTGCCCGCTGCAACAGGGACGGATAACCTGAGGCTTTTCAGATGTTAGTCCACAGTCCCCAACAATCATGGTTATTGACCATGCTACCTGGAGTTGATGGGAATTTGAGCATAATATCTTCTGGAGGGTGAAAGGTAGTCCTGTCAAAAAATTCCACTCCAACTGCCACTGCTTCGATGCCCCATTGAAACTTTGTGGCTGATTCTCCTAGGCCCCACAAAATAGAATGACAGGTCCATGTGGAAAGCATTCCCTGCATGTAAAATAGTTGAAGAATTCCAGCCCAGCCCTTGTGGACTATTTCACCTACAGCTCTTTATATGAAGCATGCTGCAAGGGCAATTCCTAAGAACACAAGGAACACAAGGAAGGATGGATGGGAACAATACAAACCTTACCTCCTGTATTTTTGCCAAGGTCATAGGCATGACTTAAGTGGACCTCTAGTTGACTGTTGACCAACCACATACAGCAATGCACGCCATGGACTATTCTGGGGCCATAGGAACCATTCTCAAAGTACATGTTGGGGGGGGGGGCACAGTCTCCCCTCTCCATGCTACGCGGCACAAGAGGTCTTCCAGATGTTTTTTGAACTGCAGATCCCAGCCAGCATTCCTTACTGTTGACAAGGCTGGCTGGCTGGCTGGCTGGCTGGGGCTATTGAGAGCTGAAATCCAATGGCATCTAGAAGGCTTCATGGTTCCCACTCATGCTCTAGGCTTTGCCTCCATTAGCACTAGCTTTGTGCAACTTAACAATCCAGAGAGCAGTCCGAAGAATTTTCTTGACCCTCATCCTACAATCAGTTACACATTCAGGGCTTCATTTGACAGTGTGTATAAAACCCATTCAGCCAAGGAGACCTTGATCTTCCAAGCTGTGGATACTTTTTAACAAAGTTTTCTTAAACCAGGCCGGTGCAACGGCAAGAAGCTGCTGCGGTTCCCAGACTTTTTGTTTCTGATCTGTTTTATTTACTTAAACTGTACACAAATGTAAAATACTCTTGACAGCATATCTAAGTGAAAGTTGTTTGGTATTTAAATTATTATGGAGCAGAACCTACAAGGGACTCTAATAAACAAATAACATTTGGGTTTTTGTTTCCTCCTTTCTCTTAAAGGATGTACATCTTATAATGTCTGCTACGTACGATGGCATAGAAAAGATGTTGACCAAACACAATGGATTCCATTTCGCACCCTGAAAAAGAACTGTTAGGCCTCACAGGAGAGTGTTCAGTATTATTACATGATTGAGATATCTATATATATATATTTATAGGATGGCCTTGCCATCTGATAAAAATTACAATTAATATGCTGGCCTCTTTGGTTCCAAAATTTTATGTATAATACATTTCACTGTATTCATCATTATCACTTTTTTGCTGCTATAAAAATAACCTTTTTTTTCAAATGGCAGTTTCTCTTGACTACGTCATGCAACTACATCAGTGCAAACATGAAAAGCAATCATTCGCTTTTTTAAAAAAAGAAGCAAAAGATTTAATTTCAAGTATAAAAAAAATATTTAAAAAGTACCATCTCATTTCAGTCCAGTTTCATCTAGTATGGGTCAACACTTTAAATTGCATAGCTCATGCGGCACTTGTTTTTAAACCTAGAGACAGTGAGCAAAGAGAAGTGCACCATCAAGTAAGTACCAACCGTTCAAGGCATTGAAATCTGCAAGTGCTATAATAACGTGCGTTCAAGCAGTTTATGAGTGCTATGCTAGAGCAAGTGGAGGGGAGGGGAGTGTTTAAGCTCTGCAGCCATCCTTGACATATTTGGAGGAGGTAATCGGGAAACAACAAAACAAAGACTGTCCTCTATTCCATACTCTCTCTCTCTTTCTCTCTCTCTCTCCCCAAGATGGGCCAGATGTTTCTTTCTTGTCACACTGCACCTCCCTCCCCTGAATCACAGTAATCCACCACCTGGCCATAATTTCTCTTTAGGGCTCATCAATGGATTTGCGCTATTGATGGTGTCTTGTCTCCTTCCCTCTTCTCCTTCCCAACAGCTCCAAAGGGGGTTCTGGTGTCATCCCTGGACAAGGAACACAAATGGCTACTTTGGATGTTGCCAATGTTCTCAGAACATAAAAAAAAACTGTTCATAAGCACAGTGAGCAAAACAGGGACCGACAGGGCAGGTTAGGGAAAAACAAGCCCTTTACAGATGGCCGTAACTACAATAACAGTCCACATGGGGCAGGTATAGGAGCATCTAATGGTCCATTAAAGCATGAAATCATGCCAACGTATCATTCAGAAGAAATACAACAACCATTTTATATTAAGATCACAACATTTGCTTCTGTTTCTTTCAAACTCTCCCTCTCCCACCCGCCCCTCTGATTCCATCAATATTCTACCCTGGAAGTGCTATAGGCCATTTGTGATTCTTCTTTTTTCATAATATATATATGTACATTATGTTTAACATCAAGAGGAAGGGCTAATCTTTCCATAAGCAGGTAGCCTGCTACTTCCATCTTCATTTTTTTTTAGACCTTAGAGGTGATGGTGGTCATTTGTACGTTTGGTCACTTAAATACCTGTGTATGAGAATATATTAAACCATTTTCTTTTCTTACGCTTCCCACTGGTTTCATCCAAAGCAAATGGCTGGCGAACAGAAGGGAAATGGCTAGTGGGCCATCCACATGTCTCAATCGAACAAATGTACACTCCCCTTCGGCTACTGCTTTCCTCCTCCCAGCTGAATCATGCAACTTGCGTGTGTGTGTGTGTGTCGCTATGTGTACGTGTGCTTGTGTCCTTGGGTGTGTGGGTGGGATTTAAGGTACTTCATAGCATTAGTTTATAAGTGGTAGCATATTTTAGTGTTCTAGATCCACAAACCGCCACTGTCCTGACAACAGAGTGAAATGATATACGTCTTTGTTGTCCTTGTTGTTGCTGCCTCTGCAGTGATTTAAATATCCATCCATGCCTGGAAGGAAGAAATACAGCCAAAAACACCCTCTGCTTCCATTCAGTTTTGGAATTTTCTCTCCCCCCCTCCCCTATTTCCCTCCCCTTTCTGATGCACAGCCCTCCAAATCAGGCACAGCCACATTCTTCCACAATCATATTGGGAACGTCCCTCTTCACGATGTTGTATTCATCGTCAAAGTACAGCATGGACATTGTGCTAAGTTTGGTTGGGATGCAACAGGAGTTCACGGTCCCTGGGTTGAGCCCTCGCATGCGGTACTGATTCACAACTGCGGTGTGAAAAGAGGAAGCTGAGCCTGGGACGCCGGCCAAGTAGGACGGGCAGCTCCCTTCACAGTAATTCCCAAAGTAACCCAATGGCGCTATGATCCAGTCATTCCACCCAATGAGTTTGAAGTCAATGTAAAACTGTTGCCTGCAACATAAATTGGTCCTGCCATCGCACTCCAAGCCTCTTTTCCGGATTCTGTGCTTGTTGTCAGCCAGCCGGGCTTGCACGACTAGAAAGGGCCTGTGAGATTCATCCCCAGGGTCCACGTAAATTGGCAGCACTGAATACTCTTCACAGGCCTCACACTGAATATCCAAGTTCAGCCTTCTCTCCCCTTTCTCAAACAGAGCCTGGATTGCTTCTGTCATGGGAAATGTGTGCCAGCCACTTCTTTTGAGATCAACTTTCTTTTCAACCACATTCCACTTGTTGCTAGTGTCCGAGTCTTGGAAATACACTTTGACTCTTACTTTTCGCCGGCTGCCTTTCTCCAAGACATATGGAAGCAGCTTCAAGTAAAGCCACAGGCTGGCTTGAACCACAAACAAATTCTGATTCCCTTCGTTGGAAATGAAGAAATAGAGACGCATTCTGGAGGAGGCCAAGTCATCTAAGATAACAGGGAAAAAAGATGGAAGGAGAAGAAAATAACATTAAATTCAAAAGAAATGGGTTCTCTTCCCCCAACCCCCTTACACACACACACACACACACACACACAGTGAAATAGCTGCATCACATTATTAAGTGCCTAAAATAACATACATAAATGACTGAATCAGAAAAAACAACAATCAGCTATAAATTGCAAAGTAAACTCGGTGCATGTACCTGTGTTTAAAAACCCATTTCAAAGGAAGCTCCAAGAGAGAAACTAATCAGGCTTTTGGGATGTGGGGCGGGGAAGAACGCCAGAGCCTTAGAAATCAGTATACAAGCAATTAAGGTCCAATAAATTGAGAGGCATGAAAGGAACCCTATGAACACCTGGATAAGTGCTAATTAGGTGTTTTTTTTTTAAAGTGTCAGCCTGGCAAAGACAACCTTCATGTATAATTTTCTCAGAAAGCACAGACTGTTAGCAATGAGGGAACGGGGTGTGTGCTTTTTTGCACAGAAAGGATTGGGTTACAATTTAGATTTAATTCTGTAATCTCACCCAGTGGCCCATGACACCAAGAAACTCATCTACTTCACTAAGGCTGGGTTCTTAGCTGGGTTTGTCAATCTGAGCCTGAACAGCTTCATTTCGGGCAGTAGGGTGAAAGCACCCACAAACATATGCAATTCAATTACAGGGAAAGCTTCAAGCTTTCCTGTCTTCTTGAGCTGCTATCTTTCTATAGGCTGAATCTTTTGGGGATGGCAGCAAAGCAAGGGGAAACGGTTAGCTCCCACCTATATTCTCACATGGTACAAAGTTTGCCATTCTAGCTATAACTTGCCAAGGGGGGAGAGCTTGGGCAGCTTTGATAGTTGTGTAGAAGAAGGAAAATTCAGCAGATGTTGATACTTTGTCTTCCACACAACTCTTAGACGTGCAGAAGCCTCTTTGGCATTTGGCCATCAGGAACAATGGGCCTGATAGAGCTTCTCCTCAGGGGAATTTTAACTGACGTTCCTAGCATAACACCATTGAGTTACTACAGCATTTCTTACTAATGGGTCCTACTGTTTCTGCTACTATGAGTTACAATAAGCCAGTGGTTCTCAACCTGTGGGTTCCCAGATATTTTGGCATTCAACTCCCAGAAATCCTAACTGCTGATAAACTGGCTGGGATTTCTGGGAATTGTAGGCCCAATCACCTGGGGACCCACAGGTTGAGAACCACTGCAATAAGCAATGCTGAACTACACACAGTGTTTCTACACACACACACAAACCCAGGTCCTCATCAAAGACTGCAAGAAGAAATAACATCTGACTGCCATATATTCATAACACAAGTGATAAATGGAGGAAGCACTGATACCTCCCAACTCACTGATACACATGGCACTGATATCTCTCAACCCAAATACCTCCAACCCAAAGGTTGAAATCCTGAACACACTAATCTGGGAATGAGTCACATTCAACTCAAATACTTTCTACTCAGTAAACATGCAAAGGATCCAAATGATTCTGTGTTTACTGAATATTCTTCATTCTGTTTAATTCAATTCCACTTCCTGCAATATACTAATAAAGCAAACCTCAATGATGGCTAATAGTAATCAGTGAGTTTCTCTCTCCCTCTCCCCCTATATATATGAATGCATTTTATCATGATCAGAGGAGCAGTTACGCATAACTTGAGTTTTCTGACAGCATGATAGACAGAATGCTACTGTCTATTATGTGTGTTGCTATTAATATTTAATTAATTTTATCCCCTTTTCAACCAGTTTTGGACCAATACTGACCTCCATTGGACTGGGATACCTGCTCTAGAGAGGAGAATGTGCAGCTCTCCAAATGTTTGCTGGACTACAGCTTCCATCAGTCCTAGACAGCACAGGAAGATAGGAGTCCAAAAACATCTGGAAAGCTTGATTTGCACAGGACATGGAAACTTGAACAAGCAAGCAAGGCTAAAATAGCCTGAGCTGTGGCATACAGATAATAAAGTATAAGTAAGTGAAATTGCTCCTCCAGAAAAAGAAAACCAATGAGCTTAAAGTGCCCTTCTGCCACTTCTCTGTTCATCAAGGGCATCCATTCATTGGGAACCTATCTTCTTCCTGTCAACAAGCAGCAGCTCACATCGTGGTTTCATACTTTCTTCCACAAGGCCTGCTAAAAATGCAACTGCTTGGATATCTGTCACAGACCTCCTGTGTTGAATGTAAAGCCAGAACTCTCCCTGGAAGCCAAGATGACCAAACTGAGACTGTTGGACTTATCATAAGATGTGGCTCACTTTAAAAAAGGCAAGAATGCTTAGCAAGTTGGAAGGGATGAGGATAAGAGGAAGATCACATTACAGTTAGATAGACCCAATCAAGTAAACCACAGCTCTGAATCTGCAAGACCTGAGCAGGGTAGCTGAGGAAAGTGTGACTTGGAAGTCTCTCATTCATATGATCACCATAAATAGAAGTTGACTTGACAACAGTTAACATGCTGAACTCATTTGTGGCACTGTTTGTCCATACCATCAGAGGGAGCCAAGTAAAGCCCTCCAGACCCTTATTGAGCTGCAACTCCCAGCATTTCCTCGCCACTGATTATGATAGTATGAGAGTTGTAGTCCAATAAGGGTTACCATTTGCTCATAAACTAAGAATATAACTTAGTAGACCTTGACTGTTCACAGTTCAGCACCCAGAATCCTTGGCTACTGACTCCTGAGAGTTGGATTCAAAAACTTTTGAATGGTCAAAGGTTGACTCCTGCTGACCTAGACTTCCTTGCTATGTCCTGTGTCTACAGGCTGCAGAGGAGAAAGGCTTGTCCGCCATTGCCTCTCACTGATGGGACTCCTATAAATCACAAGTTGGACTTTCAGGTTTCTTTTAGACATCAATGCCATGTGGCGGCAAAAAAAGCCAATGGGATTTTGGCCTGCATCAATAGGAGCATAGTGTCTAGATCTAGGGAAGTAATGCAACCCCTCTATTCTGCCTTGGTTAGACCACACCTGGAATATTGTGTCCAATTCTGGGCACCACAATTGAAGAGAGATATTGACAAACTGGAATATGTCCAGAGGAGGGCGACGAAAATGATCAAGGGTCTGGAGAACAAGCCCCATGAAGAGTGGCTTAAAGAGCTGGGCATGTTTAGCCTGAAGAAGAGAAAGCTGAGAGGAGACATGACAGCCGTGTATAAATATGTGAGAGGAAGTCACAGGGAGGAGGGAGCAAGCTTGTTTTCTGTTTCCCTGGAGACGAGGACACGGAACAATGTCTTCAAACTACAAGAAAGGAGATTCCATCTGAACATTAGGAAGAACTTCCTGACTGTGAGAGCTGTTCAGCAGTGGAACCCTCTGCCCCGGAGTGTGGTGGAGGCTCCTTCTTTGGAAGCTTTTAAACAGAGGCTGGATGGCCATCTGTCAGGGGTGCTTTGAATGCAATATTCCTGCTTCTTTGCAGGGGGTTGGACTGGATGGCCCATGAGGTCTCTTCCAACTCTATGATTCTATGATTTGAGAACTACTGTCTCTGATGCACACATTAGTGGACTGGTGATGACTGAGGAGATGATAGATCTACAATATTGGAGGAGAAAACTCTGATTCCAGTGTGGACAAATCACAGGTGTGTAAAGAGATGCTCTGTTTCAAGGTCCTGCCCTCATGTGTTCCTTGAGATGGACAGAAATCCTTTCAGTGCTGGCCAACTGAAATTAGTGGGATTTAGATTATCTGTAGCGACAAAGTCCTATTCATATCGATGAATATGCTCTAGGTAGGTAAGATTGAATTGGACTAAGCCCATAGTCTAGAAATGACCAGCAAGTTGATTATAAAGACACAAGAGAATCTGGAAAAACAAGATGGATATAGCAGAGAAATGCATTTGGATAGACATTGCTGATGAGAAGAAAGAAAAATAAACTAAATGCCATATGTAATATTTAGGGTGAATGAGAAAATGCAGAAGAGGTTACTGCATACAGTAAATGAATGTCTGAGGCAAGAAACACATGGATATATTCTGAATTGATTTACTGTTATGTGCATGCGCTGGATGAACAGAATGTAGATGGATGAGCATGGAAGACATAAATAGAAAACAATGCAGAGGTGGCACTTTAAGGACAACCTCACAAATGAAGGGATAGATGGATGAGATTCCCAAGGGAGCAGTTTACAAAATGGGGTTTAAGATTATACAGAAAGCATACGTCATGAAACAGAGTTAGAGGAAATGAGACAGAGACTGGAGAAGAGGAGCTGCATGGCAAAAATGAAGAGAAGAATATGTGGTATGGCAATGGCTGCACTCTCAAATACAAGTCTGCTCAAGCTCTGAGATGGAACAGGTCCTTATCTTTGTCCTGTCATCCTCCCAGACACTTCTGGAGGGAACACAGGACAGGGCCTTCTCAGTGGCTATGGGACTCGCTTCTTAGACAAGGCCCCTTCTTGCCATCCTTCAAGTGTGGCAAGGGATGGCTGAATGACAAAAAGGTCACATAATATTATGGATGGGAGAACAGATATTCTCTAGGTCACTGGAACATGGAAGATGTGGGAAAGGGCAAGCAGTTGCACTGAATGAACCAAGATGGGTGGCATGAGAGATGGATTGTACACATGCATGAAGTATGACAGAAGTATCTGAGGAGCAAAGATGTAGAAATGATCCCAGTGGTGAGAGGATGGCTGCAATTGGCACAACAGACAGAGTGACACACGGACAGGAAAGCAGATGAACAAGCTAGCTGGATTTGATGGGTTGGATGCTAAACTAGTCCATATGGGTGCTGTACTGCCTGGATTGATAAGAACAGGAATAGATTTACAAGATAAGAGGCCAAAAGGTAAAAGGAAGGGAGGAGCCAGAATCCAGCACGGAAGTCACTGGATTGAGCAAGCAATTTCTCCTGGCCAGTTTGGGAAGAACTGAGAGGGATGGGACAAAACAGACAAAGCAGGAGTATCCAATCTGCCAAACAGGCACCTGAGAGCCAAGGTGATCAATGCGATCAGACTTGGCTTTACAAGGCAAAGGGGCAAAAGACAAAAGGAAGAGAACAGTCCAAATCCAGCATGGGACTGAGTAAGCAATTTGGCCTGTCTAGGAGAAGCCCTGAAACATCAAAAATCAAGAAGGATGGAACAAGATGAACAAACCAAACAGGCACCTGAAAGCTAAGAGCATCAATGAAACCAGGCAATGGGGGAAAGCAAGGTTTGGACAAGAAGCTATTGGGTTGAGTAAGCAATCTGGCCGGTCTAGGGGCGGCGCTGAAATAAGTCAAGTTGGGAAGAACCAAGAGGGATGGGACAGGATGGACAAACCTGATCTGCCAAACTGACCATCTGCCTGGAGCTGTCATACCCTGACAATGAGCCCCCCATGCTCTGTTGTCACTTTTAGTTAGTCCACTATCATCACAGGCACTCCAACTTCCAAGAGAGGTCTTTCAAGCCTTATCGTAACTGTTTTCTTGCCAACTACTGGGAGATTAATAGTTTCTGAAGATCTCTGCAGAGGAGTCCTCCCCAGGAAAAGTCAACAATGCCGAGGGAAGCAGGAAGTGGATGGAGGTCTGGCTCCTAGGACTCTCCAGGTTTGTGTGGGGTGGGCAGTGAAGGGCAGGTGAGAGCAGGGCAAGTGCGGGAGGATGAAGAAGAACCAAGGTAAGGACAGAAGAACCAAGATAAACGGGACAAGGCAGACAAACCAGGGTATCTGACCTGCCAAACCACCCATGGACAGCCACAGAGAAGGCCTTCTCTTCTGTCCCTACTCACTCTGTTTGCAATGGCAGTGGGACTGAGAAGAGGTCCTCTCCTGATGACCTTAGGGCCTGAGTAGGCTTTTTATAGAACTGTGGTTCTCAACCTGTAGGCCCCCAGGTGTTTTGGCCTATAATTCCCAGAACCCCCCCCCCCCCGCCAGTTTACCAGCTGTTAGGATTTCTGGGAGTTTAAGGCCAAAACATCTGGGGACTCACAGGTTGAGAACCACTGTAGAGAGACATGATCTTCTGAAGAGCCTGGACCTACACCATGTAGGGCTTTATGGGTCATAACCAACCCGATTAACAGCATGGAAGCAATTGGGTTGAGCAAGCATTTGGCCTCTCTAGGGGTGGCCCTGACAAAAGGGAGGCTGGGCAGAGGGGTGGGGAAGAAGGGGCATCCGATCTGCCACACACACACCTGAAAGGCAAGAAGATGTGGAGGCACTTATTGTTCTTTTGGAGAAGTGGGAGAACTGTGGACTGGGGACCCTACAGGTTCAGGAGGGGTGGGCAGTGAGAGCAGGAGAGGGCAAGGGGCAAAAGGGAGGGAGGGAGGGAGGAACAGGAGGGTCCATTCTGTCAAACAGACAACCCGAAAGCCATGGGGATGGGATAGAGTAACTCCAGCTTAGACATGGGGGCACTTCCTGCAGTTTGGGATGGGACGGGAGGGACAAGCGAGGGGCATCCGATCTGCCAGACAGATACCTGAAGGCCAAGGGGATGTGTAGGCACAGCATGTGGTTTTGAGAGGAGGAAGAACTGTTGACTGAAGGACTGGGGATCCTACAGGTTCAGGAGGGGTGGGCAATGAGGAGCAGGAGAAGGCAAGGGGCAAAAGGGAGGGAGGAAGAGAGGGTGGCAGCACAGAAGAACCAAGGCAGGCAAAGAGACAACCTGGAAGCCAAGGGGATGGGAAAGACCTACTCCAGCTTGGACATGGGGGCACTTCCCACAGTTTGGGATGGGACGGGATGGACAAGCGAGGGGCAGCTGATCTACCAGACAGGTACCTGAAGGCCAAGGGGAGGTGGAGGCACTGCCTGTGGTTTTGGAGAGGTGACTGAAGGACTGGAGACCCTCCAGGTTCAGGAGGGGTGGGGAGTGAGGAGCAGGGGAGGGCAAGGAGTAAAAGGGGGGAGGGGTGCATCAGGGGGTCCATTCTGCCAAACAGACGCCCGGAAAGCCAGGGGGACTGGCAAGCGCGACTCCAGCTCGGACGTGGCAGCCCTTCCCTTGGCTTGGGCGCGAGAGGGCGAGAGGGGGGGGGCGGGAGGGGCCCCGCTCTGCGCCCACTCACCCACCTGTCTCGGCGAAGCTGATGATCTCGGAGCTGGGCTGCTGGGCGGGGGCGCCGGGGCTGGCCTGCCCGTCCAGGCTGGGGATCTCCACGCGCCCGTCCTCGCGCACCTTCCCGGCGTGGAGCTTGCGCAGCGCCGTGACCAGGGCGGCCTTGGGCACGGCGTGGGTGATGTTGGGCCGCTCGCGCATCTGGAGGCGGCTGAGGATGTGCCGCTTGACGGCCTCCAGGAAGTCTCCGTCCACCCCTTCGGCGGCGGCGGCGGCGGCGGCGGGGTCGCCCCCCTCCAGGCCCTGCCCCGCCTCCAGCTCGGGGCTCGCGCGGCGCCGGAAGCCGCAGGAGGTGCAGGTGTCCTGCGGGGCGGCTCCCGGCGGGGTGGGCGAGGCCGAGGCCGGCGGGGCCAGCAGGCACAGCAGCGCCCACAGCGCCAGCACCGGGAACCCCCTCCCAGCCGCCCCGAGGGCCATGCCGCTGGAGGCGCCGGGGGCCAGGCGGGCTGGCGAGCAGGGGCGAGGGGCGAGAAGGAGGAGGAGGAGGAGAAGCAGGAGCCGGAGGAGGAGAGGAGGGCTTTCCTGGAGGGTCACTGTCCGGCGGGCAGCTCCGGCAGCAGGTCCTTCTTCATGGCGGCCCCGCGGGGAAAGAGGCGGGCGCTTGGCTCAGCCCAGGCTCATGGGGGAAGCCCAGGGGCGCCGCCGCTCAGGCAGCCAAGGCAATGCCGGGGACCCCCCTCCTCCTCCTCCTCCTCCACCGCCGCCCCTTCAGCTCCTCCGGGCCAGCGCGGCTCTCCCTTCTCTCCTCTCCTCGCTTCTCCTTCGGAGGAACCCCCAAAGCGGCTCTTCCTTCCCTTCCCTTGGTCCCGGCTCCGTCCCAGGTCCCGCTGCGGTCCGCTTTCAAGCCGGGAGGAGCGGCAGCGCAGGGAGGGAGAGTTGGGGCTCTGCTCTTCTGCCCCAAGTGCCCAGGAAAGGGCTGGGAAGCGACGGTCCCTTCGGGGAGGCGTTGCTCTTGGGCGACTCTGCCGAGAGCGGCTCCTTCCTCCCTTCCTTCCTTCCTTCGCCGGCGAGTTTTATGCCTCTCTGCCTGACTCTTTCCCTCCCTCTCCCTCCCTCTCTCTCTTTCTGTGTCTCTCTCTCTCTTGCCCTCTCTCGCTGGCTTTCTTCCGCCTCCGGGCGCCCAGCAGAAAAGAGAGAAGAAGGAGAAGGTCGCGCTTGGGAAGGCGCCGGGTGCCTCCTCCTCCTCCTCGGCTTATCTGCCGCTAATCTCCTGGCGACGGGAGGAAAAGGGGAGGGGGGTCTTCTTGTCTTCCCCTCCCTCTTTTTCCTTCTCTCTCTGCCTCTCTCCGTCGCCTTCTTTTCCTGACCGGCCAAATCACACCATCGGGCCCACTTTTCTTCCCGAAACTTTTATACTGAAGTTCAAACCACGTGGGAAGGGCGGCCTATAACAAGCCCAGCGCCGCGGGCTCTGCGCTCGGGAGGAGGAGGAGGAGAAAGAAGAGGAAGGCGGGGGGGGGGGGGAGGAGCCCTTCTCCTCCGCCAGGCCCGCGGGAAAAGAGGGGCCCGGACAGTGGAGCCTGGAACCTGCTCTGTGGACACCCACATCCGCGAAGGCTCCAGTCCCATTACGGTCAAATAGTGTCCCCCCTTATACTGATGGAACCAAAGTTGGCCTTTTGGGAATCAGAATCATAGAATTATAGAATTGGAAGAGACAACCTCATGGGCCATCTAGTCCAACCCCCTGCCAAGAAGCAGGAAAATTGCATGCAAAGCACCCACGACAGATGGCCATCCAACCTCTGTTTCAAAGTCTCCAAAGAAGGAGCTTCCACCAATTCTTTCAAGGTGCTGTCGAAGGCTTTCATGGCCGGAATTACTGGGTTGCTGTTAGTTTTCCGGTCTATATGGCCATGTCCCAGAAGCAGGCTGAAGCCCCCAAAGCCCCCCCCCCCCAATTCTCATGGTGGTCTGCGAAAAGGCCTTACTGGTACATTATTTAAACTGTTATGTTTATTCATATCATGATCTGATCACCATGCTCAATATTATCCCATATGCATGAGGGTATTGGGGTAACGATACAAAAGGTTTGCTAGGGCAGGCCCTCTTTCACTCAGACTCAGCCCCCCCCCCCCCGAATCTCAGCCCCCCCCCAAAATCCTGGCTACGGGCCTGCGCCAGCATTATCTCCTGACCTTTCGCCCACATCTATGGCAAGCATCCTCAGAGGTTGTGAGGTCTGAGGATGCCTGCCATACACAACCTCTGAGGATGCCTGTTATAGATACAGGTGAAACGTCAGGAGATAATGCTTCTGGGACATGGCCATACAGCCCTGAAAACTAACACAACCCAATTTTTTCAATCCGTGAATACGGAATCCGTGGATACAGAGAGAGGTTATTTTCTCAAGAGTGATGTGGGCTGGAGCCAGGCTTGGATGCAACCATTTCTTTCTTTCCTGGGGACTATTCCCCCGACCCAGTGAACCACCATTTAGAAGGAGTCCTGCTTTCCAAAGTCAGGTCAATTTGACCCCTTCGGATCATATGGGAGTCAGTCCCATTCAGTAGAGTCAAGGGTCACGAATTATAGGAGTTGCAGCCCAAAAATATCTGGAGGACACATGGCTGGTGTCCCATTTGTTACTGCCAATGTGTTGCTAGATCAGGCATGGGCAAACTTTGTCCCACTAAGTGCTTTGGACTTCAACTCCAACAATTCCTAACAAACAGCGGGAGTTGCAGTCCAAAACACTTAGAGGGCCCAAGTTTGCCCATGCCTGTGCTAGACCATTCAATCAATTTGTAGGTTAATATCATTGATTCAATGAGTCTACTCAGGTCAGGACTGGCAGCAATGCTGCTTGAATGCTACTTGGGGGACCCATTGGGGGGAAAAGCTACAATGATGTGATGACATTTCCCTCCTCTCTCCAGACACACTACTTTTAGGATCTGGCTGCCATTTAGGATCTGGCTGGCACAAGTCTCTTAGGAGTCTGGTGAGGGCCACCATGGTCAGCATACTTTCAGTGGGAAGGTGGGCCCCAAGAAATGAGTTCAAATCCCACTTTGCTGCCCGGAGACTTATCCTCAGACCCTGTCCCATCCACTTTGAAGGCTGGCCAACAGGTCAACAGGGATTTATTGCCACATCCCCAAATAATGTGCAGTCAAGGAGGAAGGATTATTGTTCCCAATTGTGTTAACACAGGCATGGGCAAACTTTGGCCCTCCAGGTGCTTTGGACTTCAACTTCCAGTAGGCTGTTAGGAATTGTGGAAGTTGAAGTCCAAAGCACCTGGAGGGCCAAAGTTTGCCCATGCCTGTTTTAACACAAGGCTTTGTCAACCTTGGACTGTAACTCCCATGCACCACAGCCAAATAGGCTGATGATGCAAGATGTAGTCACACTGTTGATGAGCCATAACAATATCAACCTGACTCCCCTCATCCTCATCCTAATATTTGAGAAATGAGGTAATGAGAGCGAAAGTGGCTGTAAAATATTGACAGGAGGCAGGTAGCCTCCCCTCCCCAGTGTTTTTGGACAGCAGCCCCTCACAGTCCTCTGCATTGATATAAGGCTGAAGGGGCTGGCAGTCTAACAGTTGAGAGGCCACAGGGGGCTCTGATATTGGAAATCCACAAAGTCTTCCATTCTGGTGTATCTCCCCCCAAGAAGGCTCCAGTTCCTAGATCTCAAACAGAAGCATGTTTTGGAAGCCTGAACTCTGCCCACAGGACAGATGTTTTCCCTACTGCCAAGGGTTGGCCTCTACTGAGCAAAGCAGCTAGACTGGAGATGCTGGGAGTCCACCTAGAGAACTTTGCCCTTCTTGACTGCATACTGCTCAGTCTCCCCAGGCCACAACCACGGGCAGGTAAGCTTTGAGGAAGTGGGGAAGCCTGTGCGTGTCCCTTGCTGCCCTCCATGGCAGGACATGCAAAGTGAGCCCCTTCTCTTCGGGACAACCCAGAGGGGGGCTGTCTGAAGAAGTGGGCAAACCCATCCCCGGTGGAGAAAAAGGAGGGGACAGAGGGGAGCCCCAGGGAAAGGGAACAGCCCTTCCTCAGAAGTTAGGAGTCAGGCCACGAGGTGCGTGGAGGACGTGTGAAGGCAGGCCAGAGGCCGGGGGGCACAAGGGAGGGCCTAGCTATGCCTGTCTTTGCAGCAAGGCGGCTTTAGGCGTGGGGCTGGCCTCAGTCAGGGCGCCACTGTGGGTGGGCAGCCCTCCAAAGGTCGAGAGGGATGGAGAGAGGGGGGACAAGGGAAGAGAGAACAAGAGAGGAGCAGAGAAGGAGGGAGAGAGGAAGAGACAGGTGAGAGGGAGGGGAGGGAAGGGAGCGCAATGGACAGAGCAGGAGGGAGACAGGGTGGAGGAGAGAGGGAGAGAGGAAGGAAGGCAGGCAAGGAGAGAGGGAGGGAGAGGGAGGGAGGGAGAGGGGGGGGAGAAAGGGAAGAAGGAGGGAGGGAGGAAAAGACCAGTACTGACCTCATCGCACTAGCCTTTAACAGCCTCCCTAAACTACAAATCCCAGAATTCTGCAGGAGGCAGGAACCCGATTTAAAGTGGATTCATTCTCCAGTGTGATGAAGTTGCAGGTGGGAGGCAGAGGAGGAGGGACAGAGCAGGAGGGAGAGAGGATGGACGAGAGAAGGAAGACAAGGAAGGAGAGGGAGAGGAAGGAAGGAAGGGGGGAAGGAAGGAGAGGGAAAGAGGGCGAGGGGGGGGGGAGAGAAGAGGGAAGGAAAGAGAAGGAGTGGGGAGGTGGGGTGGCCCATTACCCTCCCCGGCCTCCCTCCTTGTTGCTCGTCTGGGGACCCTTTGAATTGGGCGCTGCTGCTGCTGCTGCTGCTGTTTCATCCGTCGGGGAAATCAACCCCTGCGTTTGGGGACACTCCTGCTTTGCCACCCTTACTCTGCCCCTGCCCGAGGCGTCCTGGGGGTCTCTTTCCCCCATCCGGCCAGCCAGCCAACCAGCCTGGGCTGTTCTGGGTCCCTTCCCCTCCGTTTTGCACAGTGGAGAATAGAGAGAGAGACTGGGACTGGCCTTAAGAGAAGAGGGCGAGAGGGCGTTTGCTTGCACCTGGCGCTGCCAGGGGGCGCCTTGCCCTCCGAGGCCCGGGCAAGAGGGAAAGGGGAGGGGGTGGGAAGGAGGGCGAGCCCCCTCCCCACAAGGCACTGAGCCAAGCGCCGGCTGGAGGACGAACAAAAACCCGCCGAGGGAGCCCGGCAGGAAGAGCCAAGGAGGCGGGCCGGGGGAAGGGGGGGGGCTGATGCCACTTCGGCGCCTCGTGGCTTTCACGTCTCCTCCATTTTCCTCAGCAGGGCTGGCACCTCGGAAGGGAGCCCAAGGGCAGCAGGGTCCAAAGGATCCTCAGCGGTGGCGTGGGCACACCTTTAGCCAAACACTCGCTCCGGTGGATCTTCAGCCCAAGAGAGTGCATTCCCCTTTCTTTTCACCCGTCTAAGGCTCGCCCCATGCCCCCCCCCCCTTCTTCCCATCCAGGTTGAAGCCCAAGGGCCCAGCGACGTGTCTAGGGAGAAAAAGAAGACCCGAGGCAGTATATGCCACCTGAATATTGGGAGGAAATTGACAGCAAAAGCGGAGAGTGCTGCATGAGAGTGGAGTCGTTTTCTCTGGAGGTTTTTAAGTAGAGGCTGGACGGCCATCTGTAGGGAGAGCTTTGATTGTGTGTTTCCTGCAGAATACAATGATTTGTGTGTGTGTGTGTCATGAGCGACTTGAGAAACTGCAAGTCGCTTCTGGTGTGAGAGAATTGGCTGTCTGCAAGGACGTTGCCCAGGGGACGCCCGAATGTTTGAAGTTTTACCATCCTGTGGGAGGCTTCCCTCGTGTCCCTGTATGGGGAGCTGGAGCTGACAGAGGGAGCTCAACCCGCTCTACCCGGATTCGAACTGCTGACCAGCCGGCACAAGGATTTAACCCACTATGCCAGCAGCAGAATGGGGTCGGATTGGATGGCCCATGGGCTCTCTTCCAAGGAAGAGGGGTTGGGATTGCAGCCTTGTTTCACTCCAACGGGGGGTTGAAATGCTCGCCAACTGGGCTGAAGCCTTATTCCAACCCGCGGGACTCCTTGCTGAGCGAGTTGGATGTTTATGATCTCGAGCAGGCCTCCTCAAAGTGCGGCCCTCCAGCTGTTTGGGCCTCCAACTCCCAGAAGCCCTAACGAGCTTGTCCAATTGTCGGGAATTCTGGGAGTTGA